GGACTACAGGCGCCTGCCACAATGCCCGGCTATTTTTTGTTGTTATTGTTGTTGTTGCAGTTGTCAGTGTTGTTTTCTAGCTGGCCCAGGCTGGGTTTGAACCCGCCAACCTCAGTGTATGTGGCCAGCGCCCTACCCACTGAGCCCTAGGTGCCACCCAAAAATTCTTATACATGTCTGTGTGAACATATGTTTTTGTTTCTCTTGGGCAAATCCTTAGGAGTGAAATTGTGGTTCTAATGATAAGTTTATCTTTTTAAAAAACCACCAAACCAGGCATAGTAGCTCATACCTATAATCCTAGCATTTTGGGAAGCCACGGTAAGAGGACTATCTGAGCCTAGGAATTTGAGACCAGCCAGAGCAACAAAGCAAGACCTTGTCTCTGCAAAAAATTTAAAAACTAGTTGAGTGTGATGGTGTGCGCCTACAGTCTCAGCTACCTGGGAGGCTCAGGTGGGAAGACCACTGCAGCCCCGAGTTTGAGGCCATAGAGGGCTATAATTGTGCCACTGCACTCTAGCCTGGTGACAGAGCAAGAGCGTACCTCAAAGAAACAAAGTAAAATGGTCAAGTGTCTTCCTAAGTGGCTGGATCATGAATTAAAGACTCAAAATTATTAAAACAGTAGTTCTTTTTTGGTTTTTTAAAAAAATTGCAATACAGATACATACCTCCTCATTTGGTAAAGATACATATACCCGTTTGATGAAACGCCTAAAAAAAAAGAAAAAAAGATTTCAGAAATTTTAGAAATGTAATTTTGAATTTAAAGATTACTCAGCTCAAGTAGCAAATGACAGAAAAAGGGCTTTAAATATATTATAAAAGGGCTTTAAATATTATAGAGGGCATCTGAATCTATTGTAATAGTTACCAATGTAAAAGTTATTTTGTTACTTTTAAAACTCTCTAGTGTTTTAAAATCCTTAATTCAAAATTGTCAGAATTAACCATTTACATATGTAGACATTTTTACCAGCAATAATGCTTTAAAGTATACAATATATCTGATAAAAGAAGTAGAATAAAGAGATCTATGCTATTTTCTTAAATGTAAAAACAACTGAAATCAACAAGGATAACAGAAACAGAAAAGTAAACATCAACAAATTAGGTAACATTAATGAACTAAAATATATGAAGAAAGGCTCCCTAGGGCAGTGAATATTACACTGGCAAAGGAAGATACACGTGGGATTCACTACTGTAAATTATGGACATGGCTGTCAGAATCTCAAGAGTGACAAGAGTCTCAAGCTGTCACCCTGGGTAGAGTAGAATGCCGTGGTGTCTTAGGTCATAGCAACCTCCAACTTGGGCTCAGGCAATCCTCTTGCCTCAGTTTTTCTATTTTTAATAGAGATGGGGTCTTGCTTTTGCTTAGGTTAGTCTCCAACTTGTGAGCTCAAGCGACTTACCTGGCTTGGCCTCCCAGAGTGCTAGGATTACAGATGTGAGCCAGAGTGTCTAGCCAGTGTTTTCAAAATTAAAAAAAAAAAAAAAACAAAAGGCCAGGTATAGTGGCTCATGCCTCTTTTCTCAGCACTTTGGTAGGGCAATGTGGGAGGCCTACCAAAACTTTTGATGTCTTCTTACAAAGATGGCATCAGGCCAAAAGTTTGAGACCAGCCTAAGCAAGAATGAAACCCTATCTCTACAAAAAATAATTAGCCAGGAATGGGGGTGCCAGCCTTAGTCCCCTGCCCCCCCACCCAACTCTGGAGGCTGAGGCCCAGGAGTTTAAACTATGATAACGCCACTGTACTCTAGCCTGGGCAGGTGATAGAATTAGAGCCTGTCAAAAAAAAAAAAAA